TCTTTGCAAGCAGCTGGCCTTAAGTACGAGGATTTGACTCCAACCGATTTATGTTTTGCTTTGCATGATACGTCCAGTAGATGTACTTCCTTTATCTCGAGATGCCACAAGAGATAGAGACGAGCAGGAGAGTGTGTGACAAGCTTTATTTCTCTAGGGCGTTTGAAAGGAGGGCCTCTCATTGCCAATGTCGGTGACAAACGGGGTGAAAGTAGCCTTTCAAGGGAGATTATGAGTTCTAGATACCACTTGCGCAAAGCCTGAAAGTAACATTGCAATGCATTCATTTCTCCTGAGCAGTGCAAAAGCTCAGTGGCACAGAGCTATTTGCACTGTTCGGAGTGCAGCTCACTTGTCAAAGGCTCCAAGTAGTGAGGATTTTATTGCCGCAGTTGGTCTTTGACGCAATGAAGTGTGGGGTATGTAAGTGCTGAGCTGTTTTGCCAATGACCAGTACAAAGAACGGTGGACATAGGATATCATTGCTATACAGCCTATACATGACTTGTTTCGCTGGATAAGAGTGGCTTCAAATCGATCCAGACGTGTCAGAACGTTGAACATGCATTGCAGCTTGCCTGACATGTCAGAGGCTGAGCACTCTAGGGATTGGATCGCTGGCAACTCAGTTGCTTGTCCGCTGCTGTCCTGCAAAGATGCACTTGAGAATGCAAATGTAGTGTTCAGAGCATTGTGAAAAAGGACAGCTGCTACGTGTACGTCACCAGTAGTCAAAACATGTCTAAGAGACAGGTCATTGACCCTTTGAGGAACCTGTGAGCTCGTCAAATGTTTGATTTGCAAGAGCTTCCTGCAGAATTGGAGTTTAGGGATCAGGACAGGGAGCGCGTTGTGTTGTGATGAGGTGGAGTTACTGTCGCATATAACTTCTTGGAAGCGGATGATTTGGTTGCCTGGATTTCGAATACGATATGCGTATGAATCGTTCGCCCAGCGCTGTTTGCAGGCAGCAAAGCACATCGTAGGAGATAAAGCTGCGCTTGCACGCGTCAGTTCTTGCATCTTCCAGACATTGCCGCCACCTGCACTCGTATGAAGCAAGGATACTGCAGGAAGCAGGAATCAGAAGACTCTCCTGCTTCATAACTTTGCATTGAAGATCACATCCGAATCGCGCCTAACTCATCAGAAATGAGCAAACATGCTTTGAAGACAATTCTTGCTCCCAGCTGTTCCAATGGTGTTGCAGGTTTTGCCGCTTTGCCTCCCTGACTGTCACTACCATGTCGCACTCCACTCACATGCTTCTCACATGGTCCATGACTGGCTCACATTCATTATTTGGAACAATGTGCTCACAAAGGTTATGTCTTGGGCATGTCCCAGCGTTCAAGACTCGTCAGTCGTTGCTGGCTCAGCCGTTTCATATCTCTCGGCACAACCGCAAAAGCAAGAGTAAAACGCCATGCTTCCAAGGCGGCCCATATCATGGATAGAGGTTTCGCACAGGTAGCAATCCAATGCAAAAACACTGATTAGACTGTTTGACCATGCGCGTTTTTGACAACCTGCTTTCTGCCTGAGAGCTGTGCTGTACGACCAATGCCTGGGGTTATGGGGCTTTTGCAGGCCTTTGGCCGTTCTGATGCCTTGCCTGCCCTGACCAAAATTGTATTTGATGCGCTTCATCAGATGCATCAAGAAGGACATCAGGCCTTCTCTTGCGTGAGATAAGCAAGCCATGCAAAGCAAAGGTCTAAGTCATTCTCACAGCTTCGCGGTGTTTCGGATCATAGACTTGCTTTCCGACACGTGCGCGAGAATGATCATGGATATTTACTATTGAACGTTGCCCACCTCCCTTCACAGTTCCAGTCGATTCAAGTGCATCACCTCATATACTTGCTCAATGTACGAGCAAGAATATGCCGGCAACGACTTGTGCCGGTTTGTCGTGCAACCTCCCAAGGCATGAGTCCTGTTAAGAATAAATTACATGTTTACAGTAAAGTGAAGCTGTACGAAGACTTGACATTGAAGCCACTGCCATGGTTGGCGCACAAGCTTCTTGCAAGCAGATTTGGCCACTGTGTCATGTCAACCTTTTTTTGCATCAATCCTATGCGGTTCGCAGCAGACGTCCACTGTGTCAACTCTGGCTTGTCCATCACAACAGTGAATCAGGTCAAGTGTCATTTCATGCTTTGCCTCAAGGCCTTCACGCACTTTCGTTGAGGGCTTTACCCAAGAAGATGTCCATGCCACGCCAAAAACTCCTTTGTGTTGGCAGCTTGGCTCAGCACTGCAAACCTAAGCTTCGCCCGGCTAGAGAGAAGTTGTGTTCCAAAGGCGTTGTCTCCTGACTTAAGTTTTGAGAGCTCAGTGTGGCTTGAAGCAGCACTGGAGGAAACAGACACGACCACCGGATGGGATCAAGAATTAGCGAAGGCTTTCAACTCTCTTGTCGTCATGTTCCGCCAGGATTGGCTTTTGCGTCTAGCGTGTCTCAAGGCAGCACCAAATAACTGTCCACTGATCACATAGATGATTGAGTTTCTTACTATGCGCATCCCCCTGGCCTTTGGACACATCAACACAGAGGGGATTACTTGTATAGGAAGCAACAGGCCTAGCTATCGTCAACCTGGAGGGAGTCTCATCATATCGAAACGACGGCTATGTCCAAGTTGATGCGGCACATGTTTCAATCCGCACACCCACGCTTTGCTTAGTTTGAAGTATCGCCATCCATCGTGCGTGGGGACTCTATGAGATTTGAGGCATGGGTCATTCGCAGTCCAAAAGACACAGGTTGGTCAAGACGCAGGCTGATGAGTGCACATCCGGCTGGAGTTTTGTTCACCATGTCTTTGGTCCTGTGCAACAGAGATGGGGTAGAGGGGTTGAAACGCGAGGTGTGCTGCGACGAACATTTAGTTGTTACACACAGATCTTGCGAATTCTTCGCTCGACAATCGGTCTTTTCACTCCAGATGCTGCCAGCTGCAAGTCTAGGCGCTTCCACCCTTTCACATTGGTTTTCGTGCCTTCGGAAATTGCGGCCACCGGCATAACTGCAGCCGCATGAAGCAAGGATGTTGCACAATGCAGGAATCCGTAGACTTGTCCTGCTTCACAACGTGCATCTAAGATCACAGATAGGTCAGACCAGATTCGTTCGCCAGACCAGCACACAGCTTTGATCTCAAGAATGCTGTTTGATCGAACAATTGTTTGAGATTTCGACTTTGTCGGCTGCCAGATCAGCCAAACCAGTGGGATGCTGGTCCGTACAAGCACAAGACAAGGGGTTGTTTTCGGTCAACCTGATCAGCTTCCTTTGATCTTGAAAGCACCACTATGTCCAAGCTGATGCTGGATGCTGGGCGGTTTGATATTGAAAGCTCCACTTAGAGTTGCATCGAGCAGAACGTTGCAGATCCTCCGTGACAGCTTTCTTCGTTGCAGATGTAGGCAGAAAACAGATGAAGACGTCTCAGACGCTCCTTTGACATGCACAAAGCGGAGCTCCCGCTCCGTCTCAGATGCTCATTGCATTGATGGGCTCAGCTAAGCTTGCTTGTTCTCCATGGCGATTTGCTCAACTTTTCCTACAAGCCGACAATGCAATTTACTCCAGCAGCCTCAGAGCCTGTTTGCGCGAGGCGTCTCCACATGTAGGTATCCAGTCGCTAAGAAACCCAACAGCGACACTGTCGCGAGAGAAGTTGCTGACACTGTTGCCAAACACTTATAACTCTTGTGACTCTTGTGTTTGCTCATGCGTGAATCTCTTTTTGTGGGTTGTCAGCTCTTATTGAGCTGCAAAAACACGCCTTTTGCTGACTTGTATCAGTTGGCTGGCAGCAAGATGCAAGGCACTTCCACTCTTCGAGGCAAGGGCGCGACCAGATTGGATCAAATATTCTTTGCAACAATAGGAGGAACTTGGAGCAAGGCAAAGATGTGGAGCCATGCAAACCAGCTCACAGAATCTTAAAGATCGGTGCCATATTGGCAGAAGACAGAAGCTGACTCTCATGAAGCCAAGGAACAGCCCCTTTCAGATTCCATCAACACAATATCGACGGACCAGCTGCAACATGATGGCAGTAAGCGCAGTAAGCTTGGGAACCACAACATGACAACGTGCTACAGTCTGGCCACCCTTGGGTCCTTTTCAAGAAAGTGTTGATTGCCCTGTTGCAGCAGGGGCTGTTGTGTTGCCAGATAAACAAGCTGAGCTACTTCAGGCCCTTCTATAGAGCGCACGACGCACATGCAATTTGAGTGCAACTTTGCGCTCAAGATTTTTGCGTGAAGAGTCGCGTGACTCGCGCCAGTCTACACTGAAGTGCTCAAAGCATCTCTCCTTCAGCCTTTGTGATGCTCCCTTATGTGAGACCGAACGCCGGGTTTGTATTGGAGCAATTTCTCAAAGACGGAACCCGTATTTTTTTGTTACATTACACTGTTTTGAGCTGTAGTACAGCCGGGTTTTTCCGTCGCTTTGCTCTTTCAGCCTGCTAGCTGGTTCATCGACCAGCACGGAAGCGTGAAAGCGGGCATTTGCTTGTGGGACATTTGTTGGTTGCTTGAGAAAACAAAGCCAACCTCGCTGCCTGCGATGTCACCAGTTCTGCTGCAGTGCAACTACAATCCCACCACTTCGTAGCAGAAGCTAGAACTGATTTCTTTTTTGTCGTATTTGTAGCCCAAACCCAGACCCTTGATACAAATCTTCTAAACTGGTAAGGGCAGTATCCTGGATTTCTGTTCGTTTGAATCACCATATTTTGGGGCACCTTAGAATGTTGCTTGACAGAACCTCAACTGACGAATTATCTAATTGATGCCTTCAGGCACATCCAGAAGGACTATGGGTGTCTTCCAGAACAGCGTTTCTCCCTTGAACTCTACTATTATGTTTGCTGTACTTGTTCCAGCCTTGGTTATTCTTTTTGTTCAAGACCAGAACCCACAGCATTCACCTTTGTCGCCCATGGAATACCTGGATTTGAGCAACTCGGGAACTCGGGAGCTCCTCATGGCTCAAGGCAGCATTGACTGCACTTCCTACAAGCTCGCACAAAGTGTGAGTTTTTCCATGGAGCCTCCGGAGCCTCTCCAAGAGATGGCATCGCTACATGGAACGTTTTCAAAAGTGCTGGCAGAAGCTGGTCATGCCATTGGCAAATCCGGAGACGGTGTCATTTGGGAGTGGGAGAGGGCCTGAGAAGTCATCAGTTTGATGAGAACAGCTTCGTGAGATATTTCATGTTCGCGGTCACAGTTGCCACGTCGTCCAATTTTTTTCGATGTTTAGTTTCATCTTAGGACTTGGTGATGACGTGAATTGACCGTGATAGACCTCTCTTTTTTTGCCATGATATGTTGTCATTCTCACAAAAGTGGCCGAGATGTTACGCAGATTCCAGGTTTGGGATTCCACAACGACCACACCTGCAACACGCTTTGTGTTTCACCTCCACCCATGGAGGGTTAAAGGAAGTGGAGACCTCAAACTGATGCGATAGACCAGGTCACCATCAGCAGCAGCTCCGTTTTGGAAAAAGGACAGATTTTGGCTCCAAAAACAGGTCACAGACTTCCCAATCCGAAAGTAGTAGCCTTTAGACCTGAAGAAAGACAAGATACGAAGACCTCATCATCTCTGTCATCACTTTAAATCCGGCCAAATCCATTCGCCCCGAAAGAACCAAAGCAAACAAACGACGTCGGATATCGGGGGCGCGACATGCCATCATGGGTCGCGTCGGGAAGGTCCAATAGCTTCAGAGTCAAGTCTGCCAGCTTCAGAAGCTTGAGCGAACGCAACTTGGGCGAAAAGCATTGAGTCAACGCTGCCCGTAAAGCCGGTGGTGTTGGTTATTGAGAGTGTGTTTTTTGGCTTATTGCGCTTTTCTGCAGATATGTCTATTGTGACTGCTACTCATATCTTTTTCTACATGTGCGGACGGAACGATTTTTGCCACTGTAAAGACTCTTTTGGAGGTTTGGGTTGGACTTGTGCTTTGACCGCTTCCGCAAAAACCTGGGTATTCAATGGAGAAAACACCTTGTTCCCTTTAAGCATTTTGGCAGCAACGACCGAAGGGAAAAGATGCGTGTTTTTTCTTTTGTCCTTCTTCATTTTTTCTTTCTTTCGATGCACTTCATCGAGCCAGTTTGGGCAGTGGAAAAGGATTTGAAGGCCAACTCAACTGCGTTCTTGACTGCTGCATGCACTAGATCATTTGCTCACAGGACAAAGAAAGGATCGCGAGAAGTTGTCAACAACGGAAGGCTGAGAAAACCAACAAACCGAGATAAAGGAAGCACAGAAAAAGAGCTCAGGACTGGGACTGCCAGTTAGCATGGCACCAGAAAACGTCAAACAAAGCCGCGTCCCTACCAGTACTTCCAAAAACACACGCGAAGCCCAAAGAAAGAGTTTCGATGTTCCGACAATCGTCATTTGTCACTGTCTCTGACACAGGTAGTGTCATCAGGTAGTTTGGGACGGTTTCTGGCTGAATTTTTGGGTGAGGGAAGGGTTAGGGAAGTGCCTTTGTTTGGGTATTATGTTTGTTCTATCTTTGATTGCAATGGGTTGCCAGGCTTTTGCGGGAAGTTGCCAGCCTTTTTGCGCAAACTGCATCCCTCAACGCAGCTTTTTGTGTCGTTTCTTGACGATGCGTTGAGCCAAGTTCAGTGCTGAGAGTTCGGCAAAACACTGTGGTATCCTAGGTCTCAGGTGATATCAACATGCCATGGACGAAAGTGCCAAGCTGTTTTCCACGATCAGTACAACATCCAAAGACAGAGGTCAAAGTCGCCATGCCTTTTTTCTAGCCGCTAGCCAAGTATTCGCGATTGGGACATGACACAGACCTAGCAAAAGAACAATCTATGGTGGGAGTGGAGGATTGCTCCTCCATGGGGGCAGATTGACAGCAGCTCGTGACCTTCAGAAAGGGCATTAGGACATGGAGGGACTCCCTCCGTTCTTGTGTTTTCAATAGCTCAACATGTTGCCTACGCGAATCTAGGGCTGAACCCGAGACATTTGCCGACGCCACAAGTCTCAACTTTTGAAGGGAGTCTGAACCTCCCTGCTGCGAGGTCATCATTCTCACGTAGCACGTCTCTTTCCTTCCTCAACAACTCGGACCTCCTCATTCTGACCCTCATAGCAACACCGTTCGGTGCCCAAATGTTGCTCTCTCTCTCTCTCTTTCTCTTCACACTTATGCAACGCTTCTCCTGAAAGCTCACCAATCCTTTTGAAAGCTTCACTGAGATCCCCCTCGTCTTCTCGGTCTCAAAGGCTTCAGTCCACATCCGGCGGGCTCGGGAGAGCTACAGCTACAGAGGACATCCCAGTGTTGGCGACATCAACCGTTGACGTGGGGGGCCCTCCTAAAATCGATATGTCAGAAAGCTTTTTCAGGTTCCAGACGGGGTCGAGTTCTCCTCTCAAGACACGTCGACGTGTCAAGCACTGGGCCCGATGAAGTTCTTTGGATCCTTGTTGGGTGTCTCTTTGGCCACTTCCTGAACCGGCGTGAATGCCAACAAGAAGCATTTTCAAATCCGGAGCCTTCGTATATGCCAGGCACATGGACTTCCGAATCGGTTGGGGTGTTGACAAGTAAGACGCCTTTGATCTCGCACTCTACGCACTTTCTTCTTGAAGTCATTGTACTTGATCTTTTACTTTGTGGAGGATGTGTTCGAAACTTACCACAAAATCTACGAAGTGATACCTTGTGACGTGACAAACACTCAAGATCCAGAGACTCCGCGTCATCTTCGTCCCGTTGTTTCTTTTCAGCCGTATTCTTTTCCACAGGAAGACGAAGTAGAATTTGTTTGAAAAAGTACTGTGTTTGCTCGAGTGGTGAATCTGCTCCAAGGCCGGCATAGACGGCTGCGCCTGGAGCCTGCGGCTAGCTTCTGACGGACAAGACTGCTACTGCTCCAAGGTTCCTGTTTTGAAGAGGAACATGTAGCGATTCCACTGAAGAATGTCATTACATGTTAGAAGAGATTCACCAAAACTTGTTGCTTTTGAATTGACGTGCTCAAGAAGACGGCATTCAAGCGCGCGCAGAAGCTCGCAGAAATCACTTCTGCAACATGCCGCACTCACACCCCTCGACCGCGTGGAAAACATCCAACAAGAACTCACAGCTGCCGGTGACGGATCTTGCTCGGTTCGATTCAAGTTCTTCTCACTTTGCTTGGCACTATAAAGGCTTTAAGTTCGGCTTTGACTCAGCGCAGGCTGCAGTTCCATTTGGTTCAAGGTGCTCAGAGGTGCTCCGAGCCTCACCTTGAGTAATGCTCAGCTGGTTAGAGAAGGCAGCAAGCCGATCCGTGCCCCAAAACTGTCCGAACGTGGGCCGTGGTCGTGTCATTTGGCAACCTCAAGACGTGAGCCTTCAAGATAAAATTCAGCCCGTTTGCACTGGTTCCTCAGTTACTTTGTCTCCATGCTGACCGGAATGTCCATACAAGTTTTAGAGGACCATTCGCCACCTCTACCCTGATTTGGCAAGCCAAAATGCTTCATCGTCAGTTGGATTGTTTCACTTTTTTGCATTTTGGAGGCGACATGGGATGCAGCAGCTCTACAGTGGTGAGGTATCAGCCTCTGAAACAGAGTTCTGAGCTGAGGGGGCAAAGCATGTCACAGATGCTGAAAACATTAGGTGACAGTCACAGCTGTTTCGAATTACCGCTGGTCACATGTCTTTGCGATGCGTGTCGCCGAGGGGATGATGATGCTGGCGATGTCCAAGACATCTTGCCAGCGGAGAGACAACCGAAATTTGGACTTCAAGTGCGATCTAATTTTCGAGTTTCAGTCAAGCATGTCGAAATCACCACTTACAAGGTGTTGCAACCGAGCCTATTGTTGATGCTTTTAGCACACCCGGTTGTCCTAGTCCTGGATCTTTTGAACTTCCAGGCAATCTGAGCACCGGCGAACTAAGCGGTCGAACCACCAAGAAATCGTCGTTTTCCAAGTTGATCTGTGCAATTCCTGAGGATCAGCGCTATTCATCCAACGAGTCACGAGGTCCAAGACATCTCGACCTCAGCTCTGGAGTGTGAACAGGAATTTGCACCTCCACAGAGACTTGTCTCCGGTGCAAACTGGTTCTTGTGTCAAAGAAGCATCACACCACGAGAGCCGAAACCAACACACGGTTTTTTTCTTGTTCTTTTCTTCTGCACCGTGCTCCTTGAGGATCGGTGCCACGGATCACCGAGCAAGGAGCGATGTTGAAGACATCAGCCAACAAATCGAACTGAGACTTGGGTCTTTGGTATGGATGTACACGGATGTACACGGATGTACAATGATGCATGACATGGTGCATGACATGGCATAACGTGGCTCTAAGGACTGACCGGTCCAGGTCACTGCGTTACGCCTTACTAGCCCAACATGACCTTGAAAACCAGACGTCGATCACTGGGCGTTACCTCAAAGCACAGATAGTGTGGACCTCCGAGTTCAAGTACGACGATGGAGCACTGTCAAAGCACCAGGTCGAGGACTTTGGTCTTCTTTTGAGCTTGGACTTCGCAGAAGGTCTTCAAATTCAAAGCTTGGTGCTGGTGCCGAAAGAAACGCAGGAACGGCTTGAGAAGAAGGTGAAGAACTCCAGCAGCCAAGATCACGATGGGACCAAGATCCTCGAAACCCTGATCCACTTGGAGGCCTCTGAGTTTGTCCTAGGCTTTTCCTCGCACGAGGCCTGGAGTCATTTGTCGTTGTTGACGTTGTGTGGGCAAGTTAGAATTTAGAATAGAAGATTGTCGCCGGTTGTTTAGCTTGCTTTCCTATTGAATGCATGGGAACGAGAGTGGTTGAGACTGCCCATGAGGTCTTGGACGACAACGGGTGTGTGTCCCACTACCACCCATCCATCGTGATCAGCAGCGAGCAAGGAGAACGCAGGCTCGAGCCACTGTCACGTCACCTCCTGTGGCCGGAACCAGAAGTTGGTGGACTGCTCAAGCCTTTGCCGGAGAAGCTGATAGTGCCTGATGGCTTGCTGAAAGAAGAGACGGAGAAGGAGAAGATCGAGGAGAACTCACAGGAACCATCATGCTGTCGTGCATGCGTACAGACTATGGCAGAGTGGTTCACCGCCGAAGCGAACCCTGCCGCCATCGCCGCTTTTCGGAGCATGCGAGGCGCCTCGCAGCGGGACCACCTCCTCGGAGTGGTCTACGACCAGACGACAACGACGTGGGATGTGAAGATCCTCACTGGGCAAACGGCGATGTTTTGGTTCGAGCTGCTGTGCTTGGACTGCGCCGGCACCTTAGTCCTTGTCATCTAAACCTTCCACGGCCACTGGCAGCCGTTGGATTGCACATGATCGCACTATTATAGCTTAGATATCGTGTACGTGGTGTGTAGTTTCTTCCCAGTAACTTCAAAGTTACCAGCCTTACTTGAAACTTTACAATACACTTTATTATACACAGCAAACGTTGCACAAGTGCGCTGGTATCGGTGCTTGTTTCATATTTGCTGCAGGCTGTTTTGGTTTGTGTGATTGCGATCAAATCAAGGCATGGTGTTTGTAGTGTGGTTTCTACAATGTGTTCTGAGATTACCTGAGTCTCGCTTCAATGTCTTGCAAGCCGTCCTTCACATTCAGACTGACATTCAACCACGCATAGAGGCCCGTGGCCAGCTTTGTGCTTTAAGGTGGCCTGGTATGCAGACGTGCTGCTTGATATCAAGCAACTGGTACTCTTTGCACGAACAGCAAAGATGCAATATCTGCTGTTCAATTTGGCCGGGATGGCGGCTCCCGTCATATTGTCGATGCATGAGACCGTGGAATGGTTCAACCGCCCAGCAACTCCAGCACTTGATTCATTGCGACACACAGCAAATATGTCCTTGAATGTTCTGATGGGAGCAATGCTGGGAGGCATCGCACTGCAGTTGCAAATGCTTTTGCTGACCCTTTGGTCTGCAAAGCACCGCACAAGGCACCCACTGCTGGCAGGAACCAAACACGCCGAGGCTCAGCCAGGGGGCCATCAATTCACAAGGGAGGGGGCATGGTGTCCATCCCGCGCGCACACACCACGTGTGTAAAACTCATGAGTAGGGAGGCCACAGGGTGGCCTGAGCACTTGAATGTTACCTACTTAAAACTATCAACGAACCTGCAAATCGTATCACCTCATACTAGGGTTGGCCGGCTCGAACCATCATTTGATTGCTCGAAGTTGCAAATATTGTGTTGCGTTGGCTAA